TGAGTTCTTAGTCGCCAAAACAAAATGATGTAAAAAAATGGTTCAGTCCATTTATAGGAAAATATAGTTGCTGTAGCCGAAAGTAGAATAGCCAAAGCCTCACGACCAGTACATGGGATTTTACTACGCTCAATTGTCTGAAGATTTCTCGGCAGACGATGATATTTTTAATTACTGAAATATCAAATTACCGATTAAACTAATTTTCTAGCCGTTAACAAGCAAACCTGCCGCATTTGATATTTTAACATTTACTTAAAGCCTTGTTGTGCCAGAGAAAATATTGCAGTGTCTTAAGCGTTCACCCACTGTTTCTGCTTATGCTATTTTCCTCATCTCAATGTTAAGCTCCTTGATAAGGGGCTTCCAGCATTTGCTTCACTTAGGCGTTCAAATCTTGATGCTAAAGCCGTTGCTTCGGTAGGAAAATTTGATCAGCTTTTATTTGAGAACGGAAAAGGAGCTGCCATTACCGTCAGCGCCATACTCAAAAATTTTATGTTTTAAAATTTTCAACCATGTGTGATTTCAAGAGGATGGTCAACGTTGCAATCGACCTTTTGCATACTATTTGAAGAACAGTTAACCTGTCGGAACGGGGATTGGCCGCTTCACAGTTGTCATTTGACTCCGTTGAACTATTTTTGTTGGAAGAGAAAAAAAAGACAACTGCTACGCCAATCATGCAGAGACGATTCATGGCGTTCATTAATCGAGAAGTTGAGGTATTTCTATAAGGGTCAAATCATTAAAAAATTCAACTGAAGTTTTTTTATACCAAAATGCAAATTTGTCGTGTACTACCCTTTATGTGCTTGGAACCATAAGGGCTTCCTGAGATGTTATCATGGATTTTTTGTTGGCTGTGTAAGTGATGAAGATTAGGTATTCCGCACATATTATTATTGTGGTTTATAAGTTTATAAATAGAACCAGTAGCCGAACTATACATAAGCGAATCAAAACAAAAAATGAAAGGTTTTCTGATGCACTAAAATATTTTCAGAGACGAAACGAACTTATGTAGCTTTGTCTGTCTCTCTGAAGCTTGTTCAGTAAAAGAGAAACGGAACAAGTTTGTACACAAAAACAAACAAAATTTTGCCGGCAATTTGAAAATTGTTTGAAAACTCTGTGGATTATGTGGAGATATAAAAATTTGCGTAATTACGTAAATACAGTTTACAGAACTGCTAAAAACACTATTACATTTGAGAATCATCTTGAGGACACCACCGGGCTCTACTCTCTTTAAAGTTTTGAAAATATTACATTTTTCATTTTCAATTGTCAAGTTTGAAAGCAAAAAAAGAATAAAAACTTCAATTAAAAATACTTTTTTATTGCAGAAATAAAAGAAAATACAACAACAACTCAATTAAAAAAATTTAAAAATATATTATTTTTCATGCTTTGAACTTGTTTTGGATGTCAAAATTTGGTACTTCATCATGTGATTACAATCTGGTCCCATCTTACGATGCGGCGTCAGTTACATTCTGTGAGGCTTTTGTCAATTTCGAAGGTCTTACCTTGTGTCATTGTTTGAAAATCTTCATTTAAAATTTGTCGAAAATACGGTGCTACTCTTAGTTGACATTCGTGTCACACGATATCAGTGTAATCTTTAGCGGCGAAGTGAATTTTTGGTGGTTTTTAATACAATACGTTTATCCCTAGTTTTAGCTTGTCTTGCTCGTATGATTCTTTGCGTTGCGAGATCACGAGAAGATTTTTAGGATGCCCAAAATACTTATTTCAATCAGAGGATCTACGACAGCTAATAGACCTTCAGACATAAATTAAGAATATGTACCAATTAAAAAAATGTGTTTGGAACCTTCTTTCAAAGACAATTTTTGTTTAATTTTAAGAAACATATTGGAGTTTACAAGCAGCTGCAAATTGTCTGAAGGTTACATCTAGTCTGAGTAAGTGATTGGCACAGGTAACCCATCTAGAGCGCGATAATTTTCCAGGTTGCCTGTTTGCCAGTTCAAAAGAACATATACCAACTGACTTGAGCTTGACGCAACTCATATAGGTATTTTTGAACTGTGCGAGTACTTAATTTACCAACCACCGGGTTCGGTAAGTCAGTCAAATCACTCCACGAAAGGCGCAATTCTTTTATTAGGTCAAGTAAAAAGTTCGTTCGGTTTTTATCTAAGAGATGGCGGTAGTGTCCATAGTTCTACGGGTCGCATCATGTCACACTATACGGCGCTGAAAACGTGTTTATTCACGTTAAAAGTTTGTCTTTGACCGTTTTTCGATTGACTGACTCAGCACGTTGTGAGCGCTCATCAAGATGGACCCCAGCAAAGAGAAAATTCGATAAAGTTTACAATTTTACTTCGATCAAGGTGAAAAAGTAGCCAAAGCGGCTGAAAAAAATTAATTTTATTTATGGGCTCGATACTGTGTAGCACAAAAGTGGTTTGCGGGTTCCGTTCCGGTTTTGCTTTGTGTTTGGTGGGATTGGCAAGGAATCATCTAATACGAGCTGCTCCCCTATGGCAAAACGCTCGATCCGGCCCTCTACTGCCAAAAAATTGACCGCTTGAAGGCAGGACATATCCAGAAGAGGCCATCTTTGATTAACAGAGGCCGAATTGTGTTCCATCAGGAAAACGCGCCAGAAGCTCCAAGAGCTCGAATAGGATGTCATAATGCACCCACCTTTATAGGACCTGGCACCAATTACCAAATTTTCCCGTCTATGGCGAAATCGCTTAATGGTGGCATTCCGTTGGCAACAAGTTCACAAATAAAACGACGCTTATTTGACTTAATGCTCCTTACTATAATACAACCAATATATTTAGATGCACTCTTCCGATCATTCGATACAGCTCCGTGGATCTTATTTTAATGTCTTCGGCGGAAACTAAGCCGAACTCTGCCAATACTGTTGAAGCAACAGCAGCAGCAGATCGCGTCAATATACCATATCGGTCAAAAATTATCGCAACTGTTGGCAGCGCCAAAGTTTTTCGATTAACCAGAGAAGTTGATGGTATGACTTCCCTTGTCATACTTGTTGCTGGGAAAAAAGTTCCCACTGAATCTTTATCGCTATTTTCTGAAAAGACATTACATTCTTGAAGATAACACACTTTTTTGCGGACCTCGATGAAAATTCTCTTTGCTTTTATTGCCGTTAATCATTTTCCGCTCACTTCTTTGATCCGTCAAAACACTTCTCTCATTAACAGCAACTTTATATGATTTTACACAAGAACAAGATTTGAATGAAGAGCATTTGCAAGCAGCGACATCTAGAAGTTTCTCAGACAGTTTTAAAAAGCAATTCAGTTTTCCTTCAAAACTATCAGTTTGCTTACTCTTTTAAAATGATGGGAATTTTCGAAATATGATTTCAATAATTGAGTGATTCGTTTGTTCGTTACGATGAGATTTGAAGCTTTTGTTCAAATACTGTTTATTTCTTTAAAAACAATTGAAAATACCTCTGAATCAGATGCATCTCTTCCGTTGTGTTTCAATTTTACTGACCTCTCGTATAGTTGGTAACTGACGATCGTCAGGATTTTTGAATGGTCCTACTAAAGGACAATTTGTCTCACTACCCCTTGATCTCTTAAATAAAAGTACTTCAGTAAGCATCGAATGCTATAAAAGCAATAATGAAAATCTTATTTATTTGCAAATAACAGAAAATGTTCGAACACGCGAAAATTTGATGTTAGTTTTACCAAAACTGAATAAAGAGAGGCTGCGGTGGCCGAGAGATTAGCATTGCGTACTGCCATTCGGAGTGCTCGGGTTCGAATCTCCATGCGCCCAACATCCAAAAGGCGTAGGCGGCTTAGTATAAACTGTAGGTCCCCATTTGTTGGAAAAATCTTTAGATGCAATACTACAAATCGGAGGAGGAGCCCGGCGGAAAAACGCTCAAGCGGTTACAAAGCGCCATTTATATGAATAAAGAGAGGCCGCTGTTTACATCCAAGTGGAGTGACAAAAATATCCTTTTAAGGATCAACCCTGAAGATTAATGTTTTTTAAATATATTTTAAAATTAGTATTATAATCTAGAAAAGAAAAACACAAATTTTGAGGGGGCTTGCATTGCAATTGCTAAAAAAAAATCTTTTCGGACACCCTAGAACTCACCAATTTTTTTTTTTTGATGGATTTAGATTTAATAAAAATTAATTTAAGTAGTAATTAGGAGAGGAATTTGAAGAAGAACTTTCGTTTGACTAGAAAAAGAATCGAATTCGGGTTAAGCCTCATTCACATTACAAGTGAAAGGCTGTCAGTTGCTTTCATCAGAAACAGTTTCTACGGGTCTTTAAAATACTGGAAATGCCAAAAGTGGGAAGAAAGTTCAATCACTGTATGCACTTAAAATTCCTATATGTAATTTCGCATAGAAAAGGCATTGAATTTCACGGTTCGTAAATAATATTGCGAAAAAAATTGTTTTTGATACCAAACTATTGCTCACATAAAAGGTTTTCAGAAAATCATTTAAAGCTGTCCACAAATATTATTGCACCTCTTTAACGTAAAAGTAGGTATATTTACATAAATAAGTATATAAAAGTAAATTCCTGTAAATGTATTTGTTTCTTGTTTTGTATCAAAAATGTACCTGAAGACATGTGAGAGGCAGCTGCTTGACAATTCTAAGTCTTCTAGTACGAAATCTGGCGGAAAGCCAAAAAATTGCGCATTCCCTTACCCACCTGTGGTGAGAGTCTTTGTTTTGTTACACATTTTCCGCTTTTAAACAAAAGTGGGGGGAAAAAAATTAAAACATTTCTTTGCATGAAATTTAATTTTCACATAAAAAGTTTTTCGCAGAAAATTTCTTCATAGGACTTCATGACCAATTCCACTAATATAAAATATATTTTCTGAATTTTCACTACACTGTCAAAACTAACCTTCACCTCTCTCTCTTGGATCTGTTTACATACTCTATATTTCTAAATTACTTCGTATCTGTTAACTTCTTAGTTACGCACCTCAATTTTTCCACAATCACTTCGTGCTCTTTGTTGTTGTTGTGCCCATTGACTACGCCATTCGTCAATTCACTACTATCCTCTGTTATCTCGACCGTCGACTTCTGATGCAATCCGTTCATGTGCGCGAAGGTTTTGTTAATGCCACCACCGCTGCCGAGCACACTGTCGTCAAGACTACGTCTCTTCGGCGTCGTTTGGTCACTGCCTTCCACATGAATTGGTATGAAATGCACACTGCCAATGCTATTACCCGTCGCACCGTTTATGTTGATAATCTGCTCGCTGTCGATCGGTCCTAAGCCATTTGCTTTGTCACACAATGTTGCGGAGGAAGCGGAACTACTTGCACCCGATGCTCCGGTCGTTGACTCGACCACGACATCCGGCAAACTTATACTCTCGATGCAGACTAAACGTTCATTCGGATCCACTGATTCTACCAAACAATCGAGATCATCATACTGCAATAGCGTCTCATCGCAGTCGGTGGAATTGCCATCGCGCACGAAGGGCAAATGTTGTTGGGATATAGACTGTGTGTGTTGACGATTAATGTTGTTATTATTGTAATGATGTTGCATTGTCGGTGAACCGCTCTTTGAAGAACGTGTAGTACGCGTTTCATTGTCACTGCTCGAATGTCGGCGACTATACGACGATGTTGACGAGCAGTGAGAGTTGACACCGCTTATGCCCGAGTCGGGGTAGCTCGTGCTCAAGTTCGAGTCACTCGTATTGGCACTCTTGAGTGCAGCGCGCTCAGGGCTATCGAAATGTTTGCTGTCCTCATATTCAATGTCAAGGTTATCAGCACTATCATCGATCTCGGATGTAGATCTTTGTCGGCGCCGATCCGCAGCATCGTAATCAGAGTCTGTGGCACTGTTTACATCCGTGTCCATCGTATGCTTATCAATTCCTATCTCCTCATCGTTTTCCTCCTGCTCTGGCACATTTTCTAGTTTGGTGTGGTTATAGCGCAAAGGCCATTTGGGTTGGTAAATAGTGGCAGGTATTTCCTGTTCGTGGAAAACTTCATCATCATCGATGCCATCGTCAGTTTGTTCGACATCTTCATCCACAGCACTAATTCGGAGACCAACGCATTCTCGTTTCGATGTCGGTAGGTCATTTTCAAAATCATAAAATACTTCCTGTTCCACTGGACTACCAGCTCTGACACCTTCTACACCACTAAGACTGCCGCTGCAGTCTACTACAGTTATTTTAGGTAAAATGGGCACTCGCGATTCACCTCCATCACACTGATTAGCGCCATTGCTGGCATTTGTATTTCCGGATATGGATTCACTTGGTGGACGCGGCGAACTTGTACGAGAATCATACGCGGTCTCACTCACTTTGGCACTAGTTTGTCCCATTGGTGCGACGACGTTTGGGCACAGCGACGGTGGTAAGTCAAACGTATCAGGTGACGCGCGCGCGTTATTTGTTAATAAGTTTACAGCTGTTATTGTTGTTGTTGGTATGGGTGTTGTTAAGGGGAACGCACTTTGCGGTGTCTCACCTGTGTCGCTACATGTCGTCACTTCGTCGTTGCATTGATTGGTTTTAATCGCACCGTAGCCGCCAACTTCACCGCTACTATCACGCACACTGACCTTATCGTCTTTCTCGTTTATCCCCACCCCTTGGCCGTTTTTTAGTGTGTATTCTTCACCGTTAGTACTTGGCTTTCCGGCTTGCTTAGTCGCATTAATTTCACTATTCTCACGATCAACCGGCTGCTCAGCGTTGTTGTTATCCGTGCCTGCCGTGTTCAGCGCACCGTTCCACTCGACTCTTGTCTCGCGAATAACGGCACAATCGCTGTTGCAGTGCACATTCAGCGATCGACAATCTGACTCCTCATCGATTCCGTTACGCTCACTTTGGCTTCCAGTTTCGCTCCCGCTTAAATTCCATTGTGGGTCTGCTGAGCGAGCACGTAAACCTACTCTCACGCTCATCTGCTGTTCTCCCGCTGAATTACTACGCCGATGGCGCTCCTCGTCCGCAAATGTTCGGCTGACATTCTTCGCGCTATTATTAGACTTCGCTATTTGATAACTATTTGCAGAAGAGCTCAAGGGGTCGGAGATCACTTCAAGGTGTGTAGTAGTCGTATTATTTTGACCATTTTGCATTACTTCGACTGGATTCGTTGGACGGGTATTATTGTTATGATTGTTTTGTTGTTGCTGTCGTTGCTGTTGCTGATGATTATGATTGGTATGAGTGTAATTGTTGACGTTTGTTGGCCCGCTGACAGGTGGGAACGTACGCTCGTCCTTCGCCGTCGATTGTTGTTGCTTTTTCAGCTGAAGTTGTGCCAATTTTTGTTGCTGCTGTTGTTGTGTAGTGTGTAGTTGCTCGGTTTGGGTTATAGTTTGCGTTTGCGTTTGCGTTGGTGTTTGGCTATTGCGATTGCGGTTATGATTACGTCCGCGAGCCATGAATAAATCACTGAGAAATTCTTTACTCTTTTTCAAAGCCCTGCTACCAGTGCTACCAACAGTTTTTTCAGCTTTTGTACACTCCAAACCAGCCGCGGTGTCGTCCTCGTCACAGGGCGTATCAGTGTCAGTACTCTTTGAACGTCCGCGCAAGAATGAATATCGAAATGCTTTGCCGAGTTGCGAGCGTTGCCGTTGACCGCGACCGGAGCAGCTACTCGAACCACTATAATAGCCAGTAAAACTGCTGGAATCTGTATTGGCAGTGGAGACGTCGGTGATACTTTTACTACGCGCGCCCTTTAAATTCAGTCCCAATGCCAGCGATAATCTCGATTGTCGTTTCGCTTCGTTACTTTTTTGCACTTTCGGCGTTTTTGATTTTGTTTTATCTAAATTTCGATACTTCACTTCGTTAATTGCCGCAGAATACGCTGTATCAGTGGCTATTGCAATTTGCCCGTCAGCATGAAATACCTCACTTTCCTGCCCATTACCGTTACCGTGACTAATTCTATTTTCATTACTCGCTGTCGCGTTGACGGCCCTTTCGACATTCTCCGCACAAGCGTAACTCGCGTTTGTACTACTACTCAGCAGTGGGTTTTGTGCAAATTCGCGTTGATCTGTATCGATTATTGCTCGATTTCGATCCCGTTCGTTTTTATTATATTTTTTACTATTGACAAGTGGTAAAATGCGCCTCTGCCACACAGCTTCTTCGTTCGAACTGCCGTGGCGATTCAACGACTCACATTCACGGCTGCCCGCAGCGACGTCGCCTAGACGGAATGATCGCTTGATCCGATCGGCCTCGTCGCGTTCGTGTTCACCAACGCGGCGCACATCTAATTTGCTTAGATTTGTTGAAAATTTATTTATTTTGTCCACATCTAATTCGGCCAGTGTGAAATCATTGGTACGCAAAGTGGTGGCCGCTTCGTCGGGAGACGTAGACGACGATGCCGCCACACAGCCTGTGGTTGCCACAACCCCGCAGCCCGTTGTAGAGAATGCTGTCTCCCCATTTATCGCCGTTGCGATTGTTGTCGCATCGCTTAATTTCGAGTTGTTTGCAGCTGTTGTTATTGCTAAATTTAATTTCTTTCTCGCCTCGCGATCGCGTTCGCCATCATTGTGATCGCTGCGAAAATAGACACAATGTTCTTTCGACGTTGCCACCTCTCCACTACCCGCAAATAGTGGTTTGCGTGCCGTAATGGCCAATTCGCTCTCATCTCTGCACGCCCTATCATCGTCAACATCACAGTAATCGTATTCATCTTCCTCTAAATCTTTTAAGTCATCAAATTCTTCTGTTTCCGCGCATCTATATCGCTTTTCAGCGCCTACGTGCTTCGGCAGCCCTATGCGCCGCTCATCTCGTTGGCGTTCCCGCTCATGCTCGCGCTCACGTTCGCGTTGCCATTCATTGTACGAACGATAGCGCTCAATGGGTGCTGTTTTATTGACTCGATCTACTACACCGGCACTGGCACGCTCTTCTAGCGCTACTCCCGCTGAATAGCGCGCTGCCTTGGGACTCTTTTCCTGATGCGATTTCTTCTTCTTCTTTGTGGAGCGACGCAGCAAATTAAACATACTTTGAGGCGCAATGCGCTTGTCGGCTCGTTTTTGATTGTACACTTTAAGCGCTCGCTTGGGATGGCGTCTGCTCGTTTATTAATTTGTATGCGGTGCTTATGCCTACTCTGTGTATTTTTAGAAGATCATTAGCACGCGCTGAACGTTTGCTTAGTTTGTTTTTATTAGCTTTTTCTTCTTTCGTTGTTAGCTTTCGTTTTCCTCTAAATTTGCAGTTGTCTCCTGTTTTTTTTTTTTGTTTTTGTTTTACGATCTACACGTTCCCCCGCCAACCAACCATCCATCTGTTCAATCTACTGCTGGATGTGACGCCAATTGAAGTTTTCGTCGCTTTAGCCGCTGAGAATCACTTGTTGTTGGTCAATTTATTATATCCCTTATGGCATGTTAAATTCCGTAGTTCTGGGTTAAAAGCTGGTTAATGTTTATAGAAAAGGAAATGTTATTTACGTGAACAAATTTATTTTTAAAGTTTACCAGCTGAGTGCAATATCTTACTCTGTAAATCCCAAGACTCAACGCATACGCTGAAATTGAACGAGAACGTAAAATTAATTTCGCTTATATAATTTATGAAATGTAAGCAAAAATTCAAAGAAAATGTTTCAATTGACCTTCAAAGTGCAATGTTTGGGATTTTTCAATTACGGTTATGGTCAAGATCGCTCAGCCTTGGAGCAAATTTCATCTGAAATGTTTACGATATTTTCAAAAAATAGTTTTCTAGGAAATAATTTTATTTCAAACTCAAATTTGGTTAGCTACCCGAATATGTGAGCGACTGGTATGTAGGGAAGTATTACGAAGCTGAAAGCTTTCGAGTTCTAATACATATCTCCCCAGTTATTTAAAGGATTTGTCAGTTCACAGTTGTAGCTTTATTCCTTCCGAGAAAAATGACTCAAATTCCCAAAAAAATAAAATCAAAATAAAAATAAAAGAAAATAAGAATAATTCGAATATTTTTCTCTAAAAATATATTTGTACTTTAAATATGGCGACGAAGAGCCACATATATCAGCTTGACGTTTGGAACCTAATCCGGTTAGGTCAACCGGTAACACCAGTCTAAGTACAGCAACAGAGCAACACCTCGCAGCTGGGTTGCTCTAAATTTTTTCATCACTGCTGTCGTCGAACGCAACCCCGGCCGGACGAATAATTTTTATTAGTTACTTTTATATATTCAAAAATAATCTTTTATTAAAAATAAAATAAAATAATTTTTAAAATTAAATTTATTAACTTGAATTTTATTTATATATATATATATATATATATATACATATAATATATAGCGATTTTTTTTACTGCAAGGGCTCTAGTCATCTTTAGTACTATTCAGGCCTTAAAACACATGAAGAGTGGTCTACGCTTTACGTTTTCCCATGTTACCAGCGCTCAAACTCGCCCCAAACGTCCACTTTACAGTCTCTCAAAAACCCAGAGCGGCAACAAAAAGCTGAAAACGTTAGCCGACAGCACCTAGTGAAAAGACAAAGAAACGTTGAAGCCAACGTAAAAGACAATTGGACGGCTTCTGCTCCGTATCTGTGGGAATCGAGGGCTAGCGAGACGCAAATGAAGAAGCTGCAAGATTGCCAAAATACCACCCTCTGAAAAGCCTTTGCCATTCAGCGAGACTCCATCAACTCCTTCCTGAACTTTCTGCCAGTGAGTCACATTCTCGGAGTCTACCCACCACCTATGACCGACGAATAGCTCGAGCTGTGACGAGATACCCGCATAATACTGGCGCTACTTAGAGGATATTCTCGTCGACTACACTCCTACCTATCCAGACCTAACCGCGATATACCCAACGTATGTCCTGCATACAAAGAGTCCCGCATAACTCTAACCACCTCTTTATATGTCCCCTAAAACCATTACGTGTAACATTCCTTACCCTTTGGTCCGACCCCGTCGAAACAGACTAAAGACTTGACTGATCTTTCCTGCTTTAAAAGCTTCGCTTCAAGAACAATAATATCAACAACAACAACAACAGCATGATGCTCAGTTCTCTATGGTTTACAGCAATTACGGGAGGATAAGCTCTCTCAAATATCGTACATACCTTGGGAAATACCCAGATACACACCCTTTCATGAAAGCTTGCATTTGCTGGTTTCCCCATACTGGATAACGAAGCGAGACGAATGGGTCTGATAGTGAAGACAGATCGAAATATCTCCTGTCATCAAGCAAACAGTCATCGCTTTCGGGACTCGGATCATAGATTATGTAGTCTATCGAGTAGCATAAACGCTAATAATAATGTCAGCCTTGAAATCTAACGAAGAATCACTCTTACCAACAGGTGCTACTTTGGGCTGAGTAGGCAATTGAAAAGTAAAGTCCTCTCTCTCGGTGAACGAAAATCAAATTCTACAACGGCTACGCTGGGTAGGTCATGTCGCCCGGTAATTATATTTTTTTTAGCTTCTCCAGCTGTGCGCACTTAATATTTTTCAGCCGAATATAAACGTTTACATAGAATTTTGTTTTTATTTTACTATAAACACATTCTCACACACCAAACAAATCGAACCAAATAAGTATAAAAACCTAGGGCAGCGTGTCTTGACGTCATCGCAAATGATTTGCGATCGAACATTTCCCATTTGAGGTCTTCTCCGTTCTCCCTACTTTTAGCGGCTATGAAACTATTTTGAGTGTGGAAAAATATAAGAACCGAAAAAAGAATAAAGCGTATAAATATATATAAATACATTCATTCGAGTAGTGCAATTTTTAAATGCGGCAATTGAAAGGCTTAAAATAAACGTAATTAAATTGCCGTCATGCCGTGCCGGCAGAAGGAAGCGGCAATAATACAAGTACAACTGCAACAAGTCTACTTAGAAAGTACCATAAACTAATGTTGGCAAGCAGTTTTTACAAGTACATATGTTTGTGATTTAGTTTTTTCTCTTCTTTGTAAGTTATCTAGAGAAAAGGGGAAAATAACCACATTAAAAGAGCTAATGAGCGTTTTAAGAGACGTTGTAGGAAAAACTTGCAGTAAAAATCAAAAAAAAAGATTTTGAAAATGGCGATTTTGTATCTTTATATTAGCATTATACGAGGTGTGTTTAAAAAGTATCGCGAATTTTGAATTTTCGCTGGTTACGTATAATCGAATTTCGATTTTTTTTGGCGTTATTTTTATTTATGGAAGAACAAAATTTGGCTTTTTTCACCACGATAACGCCCCTGCTCACACATCTTTGCTTGTGCGCGACTTTTTGGCCAAAAACAACACACAAATGATGCCGCAGCCACTGTATTCCCCAGACCTGGCCCCCTGTAACTTTTTCTTGTGACACGTTTCTTGAAAGGACACGTTGCGCTACGATTGACGAGATAAAGACGGCATCGAAGGAGGAGCTGAACAAGATAGAAAAAAATGATTTTTTGAAGTGCTTCGAAGATTGGAAAAACTGTTGGCACAAGTGTATAATATCTGATGGGAATTTCTTTGAAGGGGACAAAATAGATATTCATGAATAAATAAATAATTTTCGAAAAAAACACAAAATTTGCGATATTTTTTTAACACACCTCGTAAGTTGCTTTTTATTTATTATTGGGAATCTAGTCTCGGTCTGAAAATTTATGTTCTGAGGCTTAAATGAATCTACACATATACTATAGGCTGTTCCATAAATCAAAAGGACTCTGGTTTTCCAAGCAAAAAGCGCTGAAAAAAAATAAATTATAAATATATATATATGTATATTTTTTTAATTCTTTTTATTTCTATTTTTCACGAAATCAATCAAATAACAAAATTTATTCCAAATCATGCCATTGACGATTCTTCGGGGGAACCTAAGCTTAGTATGGTTTTAGGAAACTATGAGCATCTCCGCTATGAATTAATGGAATAAATTGAAACTTATATATTAGGTAATGTAAAAAGTTCGTTCTCGGTCTCGTTGGCAACAAGTTTACGAATAAATGGCGCATATTTGACTTAAATCGGACAAATGTACACAAAGTTATCATATTTTGAAAAATCCATAAAAAAAACCGAATGAACTTTTTACTTGACCTAATATATGTGAATCCATTTATATATAATATATAAATATACATACATATGTACATAGCGTATATATGCACATATATAACATGAATCTATTTATATATAAATTTATTCACTTATTTATATACAATAAGAGAGCTCTTCCTCCTTCAAAAGACCAGCTGCTCCTAAATATCACTCAAAAGCAACATTTATTATATTATCGCGACTAAATTTTTTTGGCAAGCCCAATATATTCCTACATATCAAACATATTAAGAGAGGTAAAAATTATTCAGTTTTATAATGAGTTGTTTTTGTAATTGCGCATGATTTCCTTTACTGGTCGTTGAACTCAAATGTTTTTACAACCAAAATTGATTTTTACCCACTACGCACTTGTTATGTTTTCCACATTTGCAATAAAACTAAAGCTTTTGCAATATTAAAAAATTTAAAAAGCTCTCAGGAGCTTTTAACGTTGTATCTTTTGAGTTCATTGACGCATTTCGCGTGTGAAAATTTTATCTGTTGCATGTTTTGTTTTGCTATGCAAATTATATTAAATACGCCAAACCAATCATAATTTGTTTCGTAAATGATAAGTGTTGCAAGTGTACAGCGTGGAGCAACTGCTCGAACTCCCGGATTTACCCGAATCAATGGCTGCAGGTCTGGTGACATTTAAAAACAATATTTTACCAGGTGGTCCAATCAACTATCTATCGTCACAAGGACATGCATTCGGTTCTCCATGAGTGCAATCTCCAATCTGTCCTCAAGAAAAAAATCTTAGGACTCAGATAAGGCGAAAAATCCAAGCGTCCAATATAGGATTTGAGAATAGACTGCCTAAACCATATTACGGTTTAGTTGCACCGAAGCAGTGTAAAAGATGTTAAAAGCATTATAAAACTTCTCAAACGCAAAACGCTTGCACAAAATGCCTACTAAGTTTATTTTGCAAAGCCAAATTAATTGTCTTTCTGAGTATCACAATTAAAAAAAAGAATTTCGTGAATTGGAAATGATATTTTTTTTAAATCAGAGCCCAAAGAGTGCTTTGACCAGAGTTTCAACATAAATTCAGCGTGCAAATTTCAAATGATATATTTATATTTATATTTTTACTTTATTGTCATTACTTTAGAATATAGTATTTAACTTTTTCCCTTTTTTTCAATTTTTTTTTAGTGTTTGTTAAGTTTTTTTATTTTGCTCTACTGTTATTTGAATTTTTTGTTTATTTTTAATTCCTTTATTTTATATTATTTTATTTTAGTTTATTAACTTTATATTATTTTACTTTATTTTATTTTTTATTTATTTATTTATATTTTATATTTGGTTTCATTTTATTTATTTTTATTCTATTTTGTTTAGCTTATTTTTATAAATGTATTTTGTTTCATTATATTTTAATTTGTTTTAATTATTTTATGTATCTTAAATAAATTTTGTTTAATTTAGATAAATTTTATTTAGTTTATTTTA